TATGGATCAATTTTGTTCTAAATCAATAAGTCTAAATACACACAAAATTCAATCCATTTTCCATCTGATCATCTTTCTACAGTTATTAGGGCTCTATTCAATGGAAGATATCAAAGGCTTCGGATTGATTCACCAAAAGGGTTAAAAAGCCCTAATACACAGAATCTAGAAATTTCAACACAATGAAATTCGCATTTCTAGAGAAGAAAACGATTAATTTGTTTTTCACAGAATCACAACTCTAAGAGAGTCAATCAAAACTGCAACAACACAAAATGAGAACTTTCGATCCTAATCACATCGAACCACGAGATAGAAATCTGAGAATTGATTCCGAATCTGATAAAATCAATCGTAACTTCAATCCGTTACATATCGAGAACGCAAATCAAAGCATAAACTAGAATACCCAGAAAATCCAAAGCAAGAGACAGAGATCAAAAAGAAGAAAGAATCTGGGACTTTACCGAGTCAGAGATGGATTGCGTCGATGAACGAGAGAGAACACCACGACGAACGAAATGAGATTGAAACTGCGTAAGCAGAGAATCACTCAGTCCTCTCTATTCCACCAATCTCTTAATGGGCTTAATAAAGCCCAAATGTATGGGTCTAGTTATTATTATCAGGCCCATCGGTTATTGAATTATAAAAGGGTGTTTATGTAAATTCATATAGATGGCTCCAGCGAAATTCCCTGAAGTGACCCCACCACGTTAATAATTCCAAAATCCAATCTGTCACACAAAAACTAACAACTATTTCCAAATCCAAACTTTATTTAAATAAAAATCATCATTATCTTTCCCTCTTTTTGTTTAATTATTGAAAATTTCATAAGCTACTACACGAGTTCGTATAAAGAACGTCATTATCATTTTCTTTACCGAATCTCTTCTCTCTATACCCCACCGTCTCAACCACCGTTTTCAGATTTCAAAGCTTTTTTTGTCTTTCTCATTTCACATTTTCGAATTCAAAAAAAAACCTCTGATTACAGAAGAGAGAATATGAGAGTGTTTTATTCACTAATTCAATTTCACTTACACAGAGATTGAAAAATGGAGAGACAAAGGAGTTTCTCTGTCAAGTCTACAAGAATCTTAGCTTTGATTATCGCAACGATTTCTTCCGCCATTGTTTTCTTCTCTATTTCCTTAATCAAATCCAACTCTTCTTCGATTTACTCAACATCAGAATCGAACTTCCAGATCGATTTAAGCCCTATTGCATCCATTTCCGAGACTAGTCACAACAACAATCTCCATATCTCCATCTCCGATTCTTCAGTTTCTCCTCGAGCAAGTCCGATTCTGAACTCGACCCATTTTAACCCACCCGAAAACACTTCCGGGTCCGAGAAAATTCCGGGTTTTGAGCAGAAGATTCGCGGCGGAGAAGATAAGGTAAGTGCTGATTTGACTTCGATTAAAGTGATTGAGCTTCGGAGTAACAACAGTGGTGAAGAGAAGAAGAACAAGAGGATTGAAGAGTGTGATGTTACGAAAGGGAAATGGGTTTACGACAGTGACTATCCATTGTATACAAATTCGTCTTGTCCGTTTATAGATGAAGGATTTGGTTGTCAAAGTAATGGAAGATTGGATCTTGATTACTTGAAATGGAGATGGGAACCTCAAGATTGTGATGCTCCAAGGTTAGCTTCTTCTTGTTGTAATTTTGTTGTAATGATGATTGGTGAAAGTGACTTAGTTCCACTGAGCAATTAATGACCTTTTAAGCATTTTCATGGTCTTGATTTGGGAATTGTGGCTATTTTTGGTATGTTTTTGAGTTTAGGTTCAATGCTACAAAAATGTTGGAAATGATAAGAGGGAAGAGGCTAGTGTTTGTTGGAGATTCAATTAACAGAAACCAATGGGAATCTATGCTTTGTATATTGTTTCAAGCTGTTAAAGATCCCAAGAAAGTATACGAAACGCACAACCGGAGAATCACTAAAGAGAAAGGGAATTATAGCTTTCGTTTCGCGGTAAAAGAGCTATTAATGGACCATAAGTGTTGCTTAAGATTTGTGATTGTTTGTTTATATTTATGTTTTTGTGTGTATTCAATTAGGATTACAAATGCACTGTGGAGTTTTATGTTACTCATTTCTTGGTTCGTGAGGGTAAAGCAAGAATTGGAAAGAAGCGAAAAGAAACACTTAGAATCGATGCTATGGATCGAACCTCTTCGAGATGGAAAGGTGCTAATATCTTAGTGTTTAATACAGCACATTGGTGGTCTCATTACAAGACCAAATCCGGGTCAGTATCTTTTGACTTTAAAACATCAGAAGAAACAATGGAATGGGGGATTCTTTACTGATTTGTTTTGGAATTTGTAGGATAAACTATTACCAAGAAGGAGACCAGATTTATCCAAAGCTCGATGTATCAACCGCTTTCAAGAAAGCTCTGCAAACTTGGTCATCATGGGTCGACAAAAACATTGATCCAAAGAAAACCCGAGTTTTCTTTAGAAGCGCCGCGCCTTCTCATTTCAGGTCTTTTTCCCCATCTATCCTGAGGTTTTGAAAGCCCGATCTTTTGTCTCAATTTAATCATCTCTGTATTGTTTATTTGGACAGTGGAGGAGAATGGAACTCAGGAGGCCATTGCAGAGAAGCCAACAAGCTGTTGAACCAAACCTTCAAACCGAGTTACTCGGGCAAAAACATTATTGTTGAGGAAGTGCTAAAGCAGATGAAAACACTGGTAACTCTCTTGAACGTTAGCGGTTTATCTCAGTACAGAATCGACGCTCACCCTTCTATCTACGGAACAAAACCCGAAAACCGGCGTTCGAAAGCGGTTCAAGATTGCAGTCACTGGTGTCTCCCTGGTGTTCCTGATACTTGGAACCATTTCCTTTACCTCCATTTGCTCCATAAACGATAAATATTTGTTCACGAGTTTGTTCAATGTAGAGGGTGCTCAATC